TAGGGAAACAAGGCAGCCATTGACCATATGTAAACACGTGAGCTTGTGTTTCAATAAAACTTTATTTATGGACACTGGAATTGTAATTTCATGCAATTTCGTATATTTTACAAAACATTATTCTTCTTTTGCTTTTCTGTCAATCATTTGAAAATGTGAAAATTATTCTTTGTTCACAAGCCCCACAAAAACAGGTGGCGGGACCGATTTGATCCAGGAGCTGTAGCTTTCCAACCTCTGCTCTAGATGGTGGGAAGATGGTGGGCGCTGAAGGAGCAGATGCCACAGAGGCTGGAAAGAGCACAGACAGGCGAGCCTGGGAGGTTTTCCAACAAACTTCATTTGTTGCCAACACTCGAAATGAACCCAGCTATGGCGCCGTGTCAATAGAAAAAGAGGATTCACTTCTGAGACAAATGTTTCTTTCTGACCTCTTTTCTGCACTTGAATTGTTTCATTTAATTCATTCATTTATTTTTTTCATCGATTTATTCATTTATTCAACCAATATTTAGTAAACTATGTGTCGGGCACTGTTCTGAGTGCTGAGAATACAGCAGAGAACAAAGCAAACACCTTGCCTTCTTGGAGCTTACATTTTAGTTAAGGGACAGGTAATTAAAGTAAACAATCCTTCATTATTTTTCACCTGAATCATCACATAATCTCCTAACTAGTCTTGGCTCTAGTTTTTCTCCTTTCTAATCTATCCTCCAAACAGCTGCCAGGAGTGATCTAAAACTCAGATAAAATATCTCTGCTTCTAAAAAAAACATGAAATGATTTCCTCCGGTGCCTGTAAATTTTTTCATTCAGATTTCTTGGGATTGCTGCTGACTAGAGTCTTTATCACCTGATCCTAGCCTTATTGAATCTTAGATTTTTTTTCACCTTTTCTCGGTATTAAAATTTATCTTTCAAGGCTTGTTGTGAGTGCTGCCTTTTCTGAAAAAATCCCTAAATCCCCCAACTCAAATTTAGACATTTAGGGTGCTGCCTTCACAGTAGGTTCTTTTCATTACATTTTTTTAATATTATACTTATTGGATTTTCTCTATTTGTAAGCTCCTAGAGGGTAAAGACTATATTTTATTTATATCTTTAAACTTAAAACAATATTATTAATTGAAAAATATTTGACACATAACATTGCATAAATTTAAGGTATACATGTTGAATTGATACATTTATATATTATAATTTGATTATCATCGTAGTGATAATTAGAACCTCTATCTTGTCACATGATTATCATTTTTAGTAATTGAAATAATATCTAGTTTCTCAAGTTTGATGATTATGTATAATATTGCAATCTATATTCATTATACTGTGCATTAAATCCCTAAGGCTTGTTTACTACTCATTGCAGATTTGTACCCTTAAATAACATCTCTCCTATAGCCCAACCCCCCTCCCCTGGTCACCACCATTTTACTGTTTTTATAAGTTTGGCTTTTTTTTAGATTTTGTATATGTGATATTATACACTATTTGTCTTTTCTCCAACTTATCTCTCTTAGCATACCATTCTTAAGGTCATCCATGTTGTTGCAAATGGCAGAATGTCTTTCTTTCTCGTGGCTGAATTAAATTCTATTATGTATGTGTGCGTGTATTATCTTTATAAACTCTTAATTGCCAGCACAGTGCTTTGAACATAGTAGATCCTCATGAAATATGTGTTGAATGCTGAAGTGAATTGTTTGTTGCATAAGTGAATTAAGAATTCTATCATAAGCCTGGAAGTACATAAAGTCATATTGAAAGAGAACCAAACACGTCTTTACATGTCTAAAGAGCAGTATAACTTCCAGAGCTGCCTTAAATTCTCCTATTCTGGACTTTATGATATGACTCTCAAGAGTGAGGTCAGAGGAAGAACTACTTTTCATATTTATTTTTAAGAGAAAAGGATGAGAACTCATAGTAATTTTACTTCTTTCTATAATATTGTCTCATGAGGCCAATGCTCCGCTTCAGTGACCATAATAAAATATAACAAGGAAATAAATCAAAAGGAATCTAGTGGAACATTGAAATAAGTGTTTTAATAAATATATTTGAAAATCTGTTAACACTATGGACATACATCGGCCATTGCAGATGTGCTATGCAGAACAGCAGGGCTTATAGGGCAAATCAAAGCAAGACAGGGCTTATAGGGCAAATCAAGGCAAATCGATGTGCTGGTGGTGGGAATGTGAAACTATGAGACAAACTCTAATGGCCACATCTCACATATGCAAGTGGGGGCAAGAAGAGAGGGGATAATTTTCAAGATGAATGACTACAACTGTTAAACGGGATAGAACTCCCCAATTCCAGCAGTTATCACAAAATGGACTCATGGACTGGGACATTTTTAAACACTGAATTTCAATCCAGGTGGTGCAATTATGCAAAGGATCTAACCATTGAACAAACAAAGATTCAGTTGATCAAATACCTGAAAGAGTCAAATAAACATCAGGTAGAAACATCTTTGCTATTTACATTTGTGATTCTTTCAAACAATAAACCTCCCATGGACAATCTGAAAATATTAAGTGTAGCTTGCGATAATTCAAACTGCTTTCAAAAACTCATGGCGTTATTGTGTCAATAGGGTAATTTATAGGATAATTATGCATAGAATTATGAATTGGAATTCAGAGCTATAAAGAATTAGAGAATTCACTTAATACTTATGCATCATTCAATCAATGGTTCTTCTAATATTGATGGCACCCTACTGTGTATCCAGCACCGTGTGAACAAAGATGAATATGACATGGCCTCTGTTGTTCTAGTTTCTCAGACACTATCAACTGAATATTTGTGTCCCTTCCAAATCATATGTTAACTCTCAAGCCCAATATGATGGTATTTGGAGGAGCAGCCTTTGGGAGGTGATTAGGTCTTGAGGGTGGAGCTCTCATGAGAGAGTTTAGTGCCTTTATAAAAGAGACCCTTCTGCCATGTGAGGGTATAGGGAAAAAATGATCACCTATGAACCAGGAAGCAGGCTCCCACCAGACATGGATGCTGCCCCTCACCAGATGCCTTGATTTTGAACTGCTCAGCCTCCAGAACTATGAGAAATAAATTTCTCTTGTTTATAAGCCCCCAGACTATGCTATTGTATTATAGCAGCCCGGAACGGGCTAACATACCATACAATCTAAAGGAGACCACGTTCACCTCCTTTAGGAAACATCATCTGCTCTCAGGACAGATATTATTATTCACTGAAACTTTAAAGTACTGCTTGATCTATGTTTCATGTACGTGCTTAGGTTTCCTAGCTGTTTCATGAGTGTGTGGCTTGTCGCTCTGCCTGTCAAGCAACCTCTTGTTAGTGCCCTTTAGAGATGTGGACTGTCTTCTATTTGCTTTGTAACTTCCAAAGCACTCTGGAGCAGTGCAATACTGTAAGCAAATGCTTGGTAATATTTGTTGAATGAACAAGTACTTTATCATTAAAGTTGCTGGTGTTAATCCAAAAATATAAAATTCTTTATTTTTCCTGGTGAGTAGTGAAAGAAAGTAACATCAAAAATTTTGTAAACATCTCTGGACTTTTACTTGGAAAAGAACACTGACAGACTTATCTTGACAAAACTCTGCATCCATGTGATTCTCCATATGTTCATCCCACCCGAAGGGGAAATCTAAGTACATAGTAATAAATAGGTTTCAGCATTTGGGGTTTTTTGGCTTGGGATTTTCATAGTATAAATGTGCATGAAATACTCTAAGAAACTCTTTATCATTCATGGAGAGAGGCTCTAAACATTCTCATGAAAAAGGATATTAACAAGATCTATGTGTGTAGAATCAATAAAAACCCATCAGAGTAATAAAAACCCAAACAGGAAATCCATCAAAAAATGGATTAAATAATAAGAAAAATTATTATGTCATATAATACGATCTTCTAAGGTAGAAGGAATTCAGGGTTGTTTAATTCAATGAGTCAATGATGTCTTCAGAAACACAGATTTTTTCCTATCTCTGTGCTCAGTGTACCAGGTCGCCTTCAGTTCTCAAGGAGGCTGTCACAGTTTCAGGTGTCATATGCAGACGGTATGCCCAAGAGGGAATGTATATGTTTCGATGTGGAGAAGCTTTTCCTAGAAAACCCCAGGTGAATTCCTCTCTCTGTTTATTGGCCAGGACTGAGTCATTCATCTCTCCCCTAAAACCAAGCTCTAGCAAGAGGATTGGGTTTTCAGTGACTGGCTTGGATGAATCAGAGTCTAATCCTGAGTCATGTGAGGTCATGGTAGACACCCAAATAAAATACAAGCCCTCTAGAGAGGAAGAAAAGTATCTGCTACAAAGCATAAAGGGAAACATTTCTCACCAAAAAAATAAATAAATAAAAAGAAAAGAAAAGAAATCTCACGTGCGCACGCGTGAGCATACACATTGCAACTTTTTATTGCTTTACAACCTACTTTTAAGATGACGTGAAATTATTTAAAGTCACTACTTTACTCTCCTGTGGTTCTTGATCACATGCTGAATTATAACTCATTTGGTGTTTATGCTCTCATACTTGAGGATATGACTTTATACTGAAATAATACCAAAAAACGGAGACAAGCCCGGGGCT